TGGAGTAGTTCACATCTGGCCCGTAAGCCCCTCCTTCCTGTCTCCCACCCCATCCTACAGCAGGCGAGCCCACCTCCTGGGCAGAGGGCAAAGCCGCTCCGGCGACAGCCTGACCCAGGCTGTCCCACTGGGATTCATCCTTGCTCTGCCTACTGCCGCGTCGCTCAGCTGCGGAGCCCAGGTCTCCTTTTCTGAAAACGGTGAGCAGAGACAGGATTTCGTGTTGGGCATTTAGAACCATCCCATCGTAGAGCATTGTCTGTGTCACTAGCGGCCATCTGGACAGGAGCTGTATGCCCAGCCCCAGCGCCTCTTCCATGTGGACCCTTGCTGCGTCCTTAGGCCTCTTGCCTCTTGCCTTTTCTCCTTGCTTTCTGACTAAAAACCGTTCTCTTGTGAGGGCTTTTCCATTCTGCCAAATAACCCTGATGCTCCCTCTTAAGCGTGAATGCCTGGTCCCTGCAGGAAGGGGTGATCATCCCCTGGCCACGCTTCAGTGAGACAAGGGCAGCCCCCTCGTGAGGTCTTACCCACACACAAGCTGCCACCCTAGATTTGGCCTTTTGAACACAACTGCCACAGAATTGTTTGCATTATGATCCAGTAAGTCAGATTCAGTAGGCTTTTCGGGACCTATATTTAAAATTCTCTCCAAGGTGCAGCCTGAGCCCTAAGCAGCACATTTTTTTTTTTTAATAGCTAATTGCTAATTCATTCACATGGTTCAAAAACCCCAAATCATAAAAAGATGTACAGTGAGAAGTTTCTCGCCCGCCCTCCTCTGTTGTATTCCATCCACTCCTCCCTGTGGGCGGCACCATTATTAGTTTCCTGTGAATGCTTCCAGAGAGATTTTACAGAGATGCAAGCCGAGACAAGTGTGTCTATGTACTTCGGCACCTGTTCTTCTTTCAAAGATGGATATCTTTGAGCTCTTTCTATATCAGCACACAAAGAACTGCTTCATCCTTTTTAAGACCTGTATAATACTCATTTGTACTGGATGCACCTTAATTCAATCTAACCAGTCCTCTCCTCTGTCAGTGGACAGTTAGGTTGTTTCCAACTCCAGACTGGTGTAAGTCCCGGGATTGATAATCTTGTACATGTATTATGTAAGTGGATAAATCTCTGTAAGTAGAATTCTGGTGTTGAAGGCATGGGATTTGCAGTTTTGATAGATACTGCCAAACCACCTGCCACCCAGGTGGGATCTCTTGGGGCTCCCACCATGGGGGTCTGCACTTATCAGCCCAGTGTGTTATCACACATTTGTATCTTGAACAGGCTTTGGGATGCACCCCCTTCCTAACTGGGGAGCTGACTGTGAACTCCCAGCAAGTGTGTTTATTCAGTGTCGGGACCTTCTTCTCTGGAGCCTGGCCACTTGGCTTAGAGCCTTATAGCCACGTAGCCTTGGCAAAGGGACCCAAGACTCATGGTCTATACCTCAGTGCGTCATTTGTAAAATGGGGCTTTTAACAGTAGCAGCCTCGTGGGTTCTTGTGCATGAGCTGGTAGGTTGGAACAGTGCCCAGAACACAGAGAGGCTCTCAGTGTTGGTGGTTCCCAGGAGTGTGCGCATACCCTCCCCAGGACCAGCCACTTTGTTTCCGCTGAAGAAACTGTGTGTTAGGTTTCTGTATTAGCGGAGGCAGAGGAGATGTGGAAAGAATAGTCAGGCCAGGAAGGGAAAGGGAGGCATTGATGTCCATCGGCTGATAAGCCTGGGAGCCCAGAATATCCAAAAAGGAGGGGAGGAAGCAGCCAGTGTAAGACATCCTCCTTATTAGATTGTGATCTGTGGGATCAAGCATGGTTGCCCCTGAGCTGGAGAAGGACAGATAAGAGAGAGGGATGGGGTCGGAGTTCCATTTCCCCAGCATTTCATTGCAAAGAGCAACCCATCTGAAGTTGTAAAACTGACATTTTTGTCCCAAATTCTTAAAAAAAAATTTTTTTCCCAGTGTATTTGGGAGCCCATAGAATGGGGACATAGTAGAAATTCAATACAAATTATTGTTTGCAAAGTCCTAGAAGCCTACATCCCTGTCAGGCAGTAAACACTAATATAAACATTTATAGAAAGAAAAACGCCTTTTACAGGATCTTCTCTCTTCTCCCACTCCAGTCTCTGCCTGTAGCCCTTGTGGCCTTCACTCACCAAGCCTTTCCTTACTTTTTGTCGCTTCCTTCCCACCTTTGTGTCCGTGCCGCTGACATAAAACCCAGCTTCGACCAGGCCGAGCCAGCCTCTGGCGAAGGCCTTGCAGTGCCCATGGCAGTGGCCGTGGTCATGGTCAAGGCTGTGGCCAGGCAGGGAGGGAAGGAGGGCTGGGCGTTCCCCCCCCCCCCCGCCCAGCCTTCCAGGCACAAGTGTTTCCTCTCCCTTCTCCCCAGCTCACCCAGTCCTTGTTCAAGTGCAGGGCGATGGTGCGGGATGCCATCAGCAGGGCAGGGAACTGTTTGCTGGCTGCATCTACATGGTATTTTTCTGCATAGTTTGAAGTGCTCTGCCTCGGGTTCTGGCCTTGCATAACCCTGACTCCACCAGCTGACCACGGGCAGCCCTCACTTGCCCCTGGGTTATGGTGGACACACTGAATCTTTCCCCGGCAGCTGTTGTCCTGGCCGTGTGTGCTGAGGACACCACTCCGGTGGGCACCTGTCCCTCGGGCTGCCTCCCACCTTCTTTGGGTTCCCCGGTGGTCCCTGCAGGTTGTCATCCACCATGCTGTGCCCAGAGGCGCAGGAAGGCAAGGCCAGCTACCCCAGGTGGCAGGGGCCCCGGGCTGTTAGACAGTTACCAGGAGGTTCTGATGTTGGGATCCAAGGCTTTGGATTTGTAACATCTGTGACTGCCACCAGACTCAAATTCGAGTGAACATTGAGAGAACATCTGGACCCACCAGACTGGCTTCTTACACACGCATGTCCCCTTCTTTGGTATCAAGCACCTCTTGTTAGTAACACGGTGTTTCCTTGGGATCCTAACCTCAAGTGGGAAGCAGAAGCTTGGGGCACCTTTGTGTGGCTACAGCAGAACACCTCGGGGAGCTTTTGGAGCCAAGATCAGGACTAAATAGAAAAGAAAGATGGCAAGTGTGTGGTCCCAGGTGACGGCTAGGTTAGTGAACTCCAGATACAGTCCGCCTTGCGCACTGCCTGGGCCTCCTCCCCACACACAAAGCCAGGGCATGGTGGGCCTCTCTAGCTCATCGTTCTCCACCTTGTCGAGCCTGGGTACAAGCCAGTTCCCAAACAGAGCTAGTTGGTACCTTGCCAGCAGGTGCCAGGGCACAGTTCTTTCCACCCGCTTCGGGGAAATGGATTTAAAATTCTCACCAAAAGGAAAGAAGTACGCAGCAGACACAGACAGCCTCTGGCTGCTACAAAGCGAATGTGACTGGCTCTCCCTTCAAGCCACCACCCGACTCAGCCCTTGGAGTATTGATTGATATATTTATCTATTTGCTCTGCTGCCGATGGGAGGAGAGCCTGATGAGAGAGGTCTTAGCCGAGGCATTTCAGGAATTCCCGCTATGGGAAAGGTTTTAACTTCCCCATGTCAGCCGGTGTGACTGAAGAGTTAGAGGATTATTTTTAAGAGACGAAGAGTTTCTCCTCTGTAGGATGAGAACCTGGAGCCCCACACCTCCTAGCTTAGCACTTCTGATTGTGTTAAGTAGCACATGTGAGGAGGGTGTGTGAGTTTTCCATGCTGGTAACACATGACCACAAGCTCGGTGGCTTACACCACCCCCTAGAGATTGCCCCACAGTTTCTGTGGTTAGGAGTTCAGGCAGGGCTTCGCTCCAGGGTCTCATCAGGCAGTGAGCCAGCTGTCAGGGCTGCAGTGTCATCAGAGGCTCAACTGGGGGGAAAATCCACTTTCAGTTCCCACAGGTTGTTGGCAGAATTTATCTCCGTCAGCCCTCCCTCAGCACAGCAGCTTACCTTCCCAAGGCCAGTGAAAGGAGTCTTTTCTCAGTCTGCTAAGATGGACTGTTTCATAATACATCCTACCAAGGGGGACGTCCCATCCCCTTTGCCATATTCTGTAGGTTAGAAGCAAGTCCCAGGTTGTGCCCACAAAGGCATTAACACCAGGAGCCCTATCACGGAGGTTTCCTTGGGGTTCCGCCCACCCCAGAGAGAGGATATGTGCTTTACCAGTAAATATTCCAAAAGTATTCCCAAGTGAAGACCCAGCCTGTTATAGATGATCACGCTGTTTTGTTTTTTTTTTTTCTGTGAAAAGAAGCAGTTTTGTTATTTTGCTTCCATCTCAGAAGGACTCAAGTCCTGAAACCCTTGATGGCCCAGTTCTCCGTGCCACAACCTGATTCTAGCTGCAGCTCTTCTATTTACTGACTGTAGGTGATTGAGAAAGGGTGATTAATTTTTTGACCCCCAAATCCCTGTTTTCTCATGTGTAAGAATGCAGTTCGCTGCATAAATAGCCACTGTCACTTAGTAAATATTTCCAGTTCCTTTGCTTATAAGACTATTCACTGTATTGCATTAATTTTATTTAGACACGGGACTCAACAACAAAATACTGTCAGTCTTGCTAGCGTGAACACCAGACAAAAGAGAAAACACATTGTAAAGCAAATCCACTTGTATCTAAGGAGCTGAAATCACTCTGGTCATGTGCTGACAGCCATTCTTATGATAGAGGAAAAATCTAAAATCTTAGACATGTGCAGAAAATTGTGTCCATGACCATGTTTAAAAAGTGCTGATGTCATAGGTATGAGGTTTTTCAATCTCTTTCCTTTTTTTTTTCCTCCCCCTGAAATAAGACTAAGATTAGTGGAGCCTTAGTAAAAGACCCAAAGATTAAAGTTTTTATCCGAAGATTCAAATTTTTATCCTCCTTGATAGAGGGAGAAGACAAAATCAAGCTTGGCTTTTCACAGGCTCTTGTGAAGAAGGCAGGCCCCAGTGAACCCCGAAGGACCAGCAACTATAACCTGCTCTGGTTTCCTTTCCAGGTTTCTCCTCTTCGTGGAAGGGGTTGGATGATGTCCCTGGCTCTCCAGGACGCCCCTCCTTGGCTGTAACTGCAGGAAGGCCTCTTAAACCCCGGCTCATCTCCCAGCCACTTCTGGAAGCTACTTGAGAAAAAAAAAAATGATGTGACAGATCCTATCAGAAAGGATTTTCGGAAACCTAACACCTTCGAAGAAAGTGGCCCTTTTCCCTTTCTCAAAGTAGACATTCTCCAATTCCAAAATGCCAGCCAAGACCCCGATTTACCTAAAAGCTGCCAATAACAAGAAAGGCAAGAAATTTAAACTGAGGGACATTTTGTCCCCCGATATGATTAGCCCTCCCCTCGGAGACTTCCGCCACACCATTCACATCGGCAAAGAAGGCCAGCATGACGTCTTCGGCGACATCTCGTTCTTGCAAGGGAACTACGAGCTGCTCCCAGGAAACCAGGAGAGAGCGCGCCTGGGCCCGTTCCCGGGGCACAGCGAGTTCCTGCGGGCCAACAGTACCTCCGACTCCGTGTTCACGGACACGCCCTCCCCCGTGCTCAAAAACGCCATCTCCCTCCCGACCATCGGAGGGTCGCAGGCGCTCATGTTGCCCTTGCTGTCGCCGGTGACGTTTCATTCCAAACAGGAGTCCTTTGGGCCGGCCAAGCTGCCCCGGCTTAGCTGTGAGCCGGTCGTGGAGGAAAAGGCCCCGGAGAAGAGCAGTCTGCTGGGGAACGGGACGGGCCACCAGGGAGACGTCTCGTGGGGCTCCAGCGGCTCCGCGTCGCAGTCCAGCCAGGGCAGGGACAGCCACTCCTCCAGCCTCTCCGAACAGTACCCCGACTGGCCGGCTGAGGACATGTTTGACCATCCCGCCCCATGCCAGCTTGTCAAGGAGAAGACAAAGTCGGAGGAGTCCCTCTCTGACCTCACAGGTTCCCTCCTCTCCCTACAGCTCGATTTGGGGCCCTCCTTTTTGGATGAGGTGCTGAATGTCATGGATAAAAATAAGTAACGGACACCGCCGACTCTTGGCCTTTGGGGGGAGAAGGTATCAAAAAATAAAAACTAAACTAAACCACAGTCGAAGAGAAGAGCTTCACTGGCTATGTGTGCAGTTTGTGTGATGGGTTTTCTAAGATAATGTTCCTACGAAATATTTTTTGTACCTATTATGCCCTGTTTGCAAAAACAGAAAGGCAAAAAACAAAAACAAAAACAAAAAACGTCCTGGCAGAAAGGAAGTGAGTCATTCAGAACCCATTTTCGGCGGGTATTGCTGATGTTCAGCTCACATTTTTTATTTCCAGAAACGTAAGAACTCTGGCTCGGCCAGGATTGGCACTAGCTACGAAGGGCTGCTCAAGTCACGTTAAAGAACTTGACAATACTCCAGCATTTTCTGAGCAAGAAGTCAAAATTTATTTAACACCTAAGCCTTTTTTTCTAGACTCTTTTCTATATTACGTTATTTGGGCTCATCATAGCAAATTCTTCAGTGTTAAAACTGTTCTCTGTTCTCACATTTGAACAACTCTATGGGTTTGGGGGATTTTCTCATAGCTCTTATATATCCCTATATATTATATCTATATCGCGCAATTTTGACCGTCAGCTACATGTTGGTAAGACACAAGCAAAGTATTACTGTAACTAAGTTATTTTTAAAGTTAAAATATATTTTTATGTGCCTTTGGCTTTTTATTGCAGAGTCTACATTTTATAGATACTACATCAAATGTTGTCATTTGACTTGTCTCCATTGGGGTTCCATTGTAAGCTGCGTATGTATATGTTTGGAAAAGTGTATTCATACTTAGCTTTATTTCTTTTTCTTCATCTGTTAGCATACTTTTCAGAGCACCCAACAATGGATTGTTAAATATAAGGGCACAGGTTACTCATGATGCTTCTGCAGAGACTGTGGGCTACACCATATAATGTTATTTGGAAATATAGGTATTTTAGTACAGTACATAACTTGCATTACATAGGTACTTCATGCGACACAATAAAGAGTAAATGTTAAAATGAAGTTGCTTGTTTATAGTAATAAACAAAAGTGTAAGAGAATAATAATATTTTCCTTAAGTTCAGGGCTAGAAAAATTGCTTCTCTAAAGTGTATGTGAGCCTTTAAAATAAGAGGTGATTTCCATCCACTCTGCAATTTTGAGTTTTGTCCAAAGGTTTGAGATTCCAGAAACAGGACCCTTCAGTGTTAGGAAAAATGAACGTGTGAGATCAGAATTTTTAAGTCAACACTGATGCCAGCCTCTCAAAACTCATTTCTGTGAAGAACCTCACTCTAATACACTCTGTAGCAAACTCTTGTAACCCCAATCCCGTCCCTGTTAGACAGATGTTTCCTGGCTACAGGTGCCATATAAACCAGATGAAGGAGGCTAAAAAGAAGGCAGTAGAAAATACCCACCCCCGCCGCCCACCGCTGCCACAGAGAGATGCCTGAGGACATCAGTTAAGGAAACAGGAAGAGGAAATGTACACAGCAGTTCCTGTCCTGTCAACCACCCTTCCCCCCTTCAAAGTCAAACACTTGCACATAATAACTTTCATTTCTCCTAGAACTGTATCCCTGAAATGACTTCCTCTTCCCAAGTACGTCAGTGATTGTCCCACCTGGTTGGGGGGGATGTGGGGGGAGGGACACAAGACAACTCACCAAGTAGAAGAGGAACCCGGTTTCCCTAGAGCACCGAGTACTGGCCTTCTTAACTTCCCAGCTGCATTTCTAGCCCATGATTTTCTAGTGTTCTTTCTCTGTCAACCGGACCCATTCAACACTCCCCATCTACGTTAGTGGTCACATTTATTCTCATTTTACTCTTCATCTTCAGCATGGCCTCAAGGAAAAGGTTAAACTATTAGCTGAAACAGTAATGTTTGCACATTTCCTCTGCTTGGGTTTATTTGATAGAATCTAAGTAATAATGCATCCTTGCGGGTATTTAACAATCACACTTTGGGCACTCTCACATAGAGCCTCCCATTAGGTTAGGTAGGTATAATTGAGAGGGCACAAACATGCCCCTCTTAGAGGGGAAACAGAGCCACATCCTGCTTGTGATTTTGCGAAGTCATTTCTCCCGTGGCAGCCCTTCTAATACCTGGTTCCTTCTCCAAGGAGCAGGTGCAGAGCTGGTGGGGGCTTTCTGCAAAAAGGCACTTTCAACTTGCACCTGCTGAGAGCTGAATTGATGTTCCCAGTCTGTGAACATTCTCCCACTTTTAACCTAATTTATCAAGATGCACTTCATTTGCAAACTCAAAATGCTCAGCCACTTGTGACCCAACAACCAGAAAAGAGACCATGCGATTTGTGTTAAGTAGAGACTCTTTTGTGTTGTAGGCAAGGTTCTTGGAGGTGATCTTTTCCCTGGGCGTTGAGACCTAACAGAGGACACCATATATTATTTCTGTCTCGGCTTATTTGCTTAAAAAAAGAACATCAGGGTACTTAGCTCTTCACAAATAGAAAGTCATTACTTAGCACATTTCAGTGGTTCAGGTCACTGTCAACAAATATGGAAGACTAAATCGGTTGAACAGAAACCCAGGTCTCCAGAATCATGGTCTAATTTCTGTTATTCAAAGTTACAGTTTTTCAAGTCTCTGCACAAAACACTTGAAGTCATGGAATGGAGGAAGTCATGAATCCATTAACTTGATAAATGTTTTTACACAGACAAAAGCCTACATTGTGATGGCTTTGCGCCTCCTAATATAAACCATTTTACTGTGAAACATACAAAAAATAAAACAAGTCGGCACGATGGTTTCTCTCCAATAAGGGTTTTTCCTTTGGAAACCATTGCCAATCTAGTCCCTAATTTAGCAATAGAAGTCCTAATAGAAGTCCTCAGACTTTAGAATTAGTCTACCAAACTAATACGAATGATTGACTTACTTTTCTTCTTTTGACAAGTCAATAAGCCACATACATAATTAGGTTATTGGCTGCCTCCCTGTGTCTCCACCCACACTTTCCGGCCAGATCCAGCAATAGAAGTTTGCAGATGTTAAATGATAAGCTAGCATTGACTCAGATGGTAGCCTTCTGGTTTATTTGGCTGTATGGGGCTTGAAAATGTCACAATACCCAAAACGATATTCACGCATTAACTTATGTGTTGCTAAGCAATACAATTATTTTCCAAAGAAGAAGATGATCTCCCTGGTTCGTTGCTTGATTGACATGTTTGTTTCATCTGATGATACCTGGAGAGTTGCATGCTTGGTTGGGATAGATGGCACATGATTTCATCCAGCTGGTCTTTCATCTGAGAATGTTGAATTCTCCTTATTCTTACAGCAAGTGATTATTAAGAAGTAGGCCTAAACATTTCTTGAGTTGTAAGGGAGTCATCATTCGGTGGTAAAATGCTGCAGAGAAAGTCATGTGGAAGAAAGGGAACCACGCTTATTCTATGAAGAGATGTATAACACAGGGAAGTCTGTGTCACTACAGTACCCGTTACCTGTGGTTTCAGTTACCCATGCCATCCGGCCTGGAAGCAGATGATCCTCCTGACCAATCACCAGAAGGCCAACAGTAGCCCAACACTATGTCACGATGCCTACTCACCTGATGTCATCTCATTCTGTAGGCATTTTATCATCAAACATCACAAGAAGGGTGACTACAGTACAATAAGATATTTTGAGAGAGATCACATTCACATAAATTTATTATAGTATATTGTTATAATTGTTCTATTTTATTATTGGTAATCTTACTGTGCTTAATTTAGACACTAAACTTTATGGATGTATAGGAAGACATAGTATACCTAGGGTTTGGTACTGTCTGTGGTTTTAGGCATCCTCTGGGGGTCTTGAAACATATCCCCTGTGGATAAGGGGGGAAACTGTAATATACTGCATTTAATTGTCCTCCATTTGTACTTAAAAAAAAATTCTATAGTGAATTCACTTCCACTGGCTTCCAAGGAAGGTCAATAATCTTTATACTTTGAAGGTCAGCCAAATTTCCTTCATGGAAAGCAGATCAACACTGGTGATAGATACATAAAAACATCTGCCCAAATCAAAGCCACTTTGCCAAATACAGTTCATATTCCAGAGTCTCCTTGTGCAGACCGAGATGCCTGCCATACATCAAAATTAGGGAGGCTGAATAGGTAAAGTGGATATTATGCTTGCCATAAAACAATTACTGGAATAAGTCATGAGACGTGTGTGATTCATTGCCAAAAGATCATCGGGAAAAAAGACCTTTGAGTTCTGGGGAGGGAAAGACCTGGATGGCTTCATGGAAGAGGAGGGCCCAAATAGATTTGTTTTTCAGGAGAGGGAAAATACTCGGGAGGAAGAAGATCCTGGGCAAACAAAAGAATACACTGCATCCTGGAAGGCTTTTTACTAAAAACAGTCCAGGAATAGGGATCGAAGTAGAAAATGAAAGAATTGGGCCCATGCCTGAGGAGGGTCTCCCAGTGGAATAAGACGACTCTGGAATAGGAGATTCCTGAACAGGTGGCTTCCAAGTTTAGAAATTGATATAAAATAAGCCACCATCTTGTGAAAGCTCACGTCCAGTTAACAGTGCCTATACTACAACCCAAAGGCCAGCCTGGGGACACTTCAACTGTGAGGCCAGTGAGTGTTCAGGGAAAGTCATTCATGATGATGGAAGAAGCAAGAGGGGCAAAGTATCTCCTGAAACAGCACCAGATGAAACAGGTTCTTTATTTTTTTCAATTTTTTATTGTTATGTTAATCACCATACATTACATCATTAGTTTTTGATGTAGTGTTCCATGATTCATTGTTTGTGCATAAAACCCAGTGCGCCACGCAGAATGTGCCCTCTTTAATACCCATCACCAGGCTAACTCATCCCCCACCCCCCTCCCCTCTAGAACCCTCAGTTTGTTTTTCAGAGTCCATCGTCTCTCATGGTTCGTCTCCCCTTCTGACTTACTCCCCTTCATTCTTCCCCTCCTGCTATCTTCTTCTTTCTCTTTTTTCTTAGCATATGTTGCATTATTTGTTTCCGAGGTACAGATCTGTGATTCAACAGTCTTGCACAATTCACAGCGCTCACCATAGCACATACCCTCCCCAATGCCTATCACCCAGCCAGCCCATCCCTCCCACCCCCCACCACTCCAGCAACCCTCAGTTTGTTTCCTGAGATTAAGAATTCCTCATATCAGTGAGGTCATATGATACATGTCTTTCTCTGATTGACTTATTTCACTCAGCATAACACCCTCCAGTTCCATCCACATTGTTGCAAATGCCAAGATCTCATTCCTTTTGATGGCTGCATAATATTCCATTGTGTATATATACCACTTCTTCTTTATCCATTCATCTGTCGACGGACATCTTGGCTCTTTCCACAGTTTGGCTATTGTGGACATTGCTGCTATAAACATTGGGGTACACATACCCCTTCGGATCCCTACATTTGTATCTTTGTGGTAAATACCCAGTAGTGCAATTGCTGGATCGTATGGTAGCTCTATTTTCAACTGTTTGAGGAACCTCCATACTGTTTTCCAGAGTGGTTGCACCAGCTTGCATTCCCACCAACAGTGTAGGAGGGTTCCCCTTTCTCCACATCCCTGCCAACATCTGTCGTTTCCTGACTTGTTAATTTTAGCCATTCTGACTGGTGTGAGGTGGTATCTCATTGAGGTTTTGATTTGTATTTCCCTGATGCCGAGAGATGTTGAGCACTTTTTCATGTGTCTGTTGGCCATTTGGATGTCTTCTTTGGAAAAATGTCTGTTCATGTCTTCTGCCCATTATTGATTGGATTATTTGTTCTTTGGGTGTTGAGTTTGATAAGTTCTTTATAGATTTTGGATACTAGCCCTTTATCTGATATGTCATTTGCAAATATCTTTTCCCATTCTGTTGGTTGTCTTTTGGTTTTGTGGACTGTTTCTTTTGCTGTGCAAAAGCTTTTTATCTTGATGAAATCCCAATAGTTCATTTTTGCCCTGGCTTCCCTTGCCTTTGGCGATGTTTCTAGGAAGAAGTT